AAATTTGATTACTTAATTCATATGTATTGTGTGTAAACAAATTACTTAATAACTGGACTTAAATTGTTGACTGTATTGGATGACTTGGCTTCCGGATCTTCCTATTTTAAGGAGAAATATAATTTGAAATGAAATTAAGAAATTATATATTGCAAAAATTAGTTTTTATATAACTTATAGCTAGTTAATTAGTAGCACTAAATTCTGAATATATTTTTTTTTCTTTGAGTCAACCGATGCTGGAGAGAAGAGAATTGAACTTAAATAGAATTTTATAAAATTTATTACGTACTCTTAATAACTTGAGCTTACAAATAATCATGTTAAATATAATCGGTTTAACGAAAACAGAAAAGTAATTAGCTATAAACTTGCTGATTGATGGTTTCATTCTCGGATAGGTAGTTTTCCATTTTGTGTTGTTTTGTCCTGCTTAGTGGGCTGCGTTTTATCACTTTAGCGAGTTGTTTGTGGGCTCATCCTTGTGATGGCTTTTTTGGTCTCGTTCTTGTGATGACTTTTGTGGTTCCGGTGCAAGGTCTGTTACATTTACCGTCTTTATGGCAGATCTTTACCCGTGGCTAATGGTTCTTGTTGTTGTGTTGTGGCTGCCTAGTAGGGGTTTTCCTTGTATGCCAATTTGTGAGGATTTATCTCCAGATCAAGATGTTTGATCAATGGAGAAATGTACCCATCTAGCAACTCATTGTAATGCTTGGTTGTATGTGTTTGTTCTAATCAATGAAATTCTCTATCATTTCTGTCCAGAGAAAAAAAAAACAAACTAATGTTACTATTAATTAATAGGGCACAAGTTGTGGGTTGGCCACCGGTGCGATCTTTTCGAAAGAACATGTTCACGGCGGTGCAAAAGAGCACGAATGATGGAGAAAGTGAGCAGATGAACAAGGGCAGCAATAATAATGCAGTTTTGGTGAAGGTTAGCATGGATGGTGCACCATACCTTCGCAAGGTCGACTTGAAGATGTACAAGAGTTACCCTGAGCTCTCTGATGCCCTAGCCAAAATGTTCAGCTCCTTCACCATTGGTAACTACTTTTATCTATATTTTCAAAAGATGATTTATGCACAATTTTGTTAATTTTTATCTCTCTAACTGCTAAAAATAAATAAGAGTACGTAAGGAGAAAAAAGGGTGTGCGGAGTCACCTCTCTTATATTTTTGGAACAAGTTAATGCATTATTTGTCTGTTAAATTTTCAATTATTATGATACTTGGAGTAATGGTATAAAATTTTCAATCATTGAAGGAAATTGTGGATCCCAAGGAATGAAGGACTTCATGAATGAGAGAAAGCTGATGGATGTTCTCAACGGTTCTGATTACATTCCAACATACGAAGACAAGGATGGTGATTGGATGCTGGTTGGCGATGTGCCATGGGAGTAAGAACATCTCTAATCATACTTTTTATTTTTTCGGTTAATTTTTTACTAAAAAGACTAAAAAGTTATTTAGCTCTCTGACAAAAATAAATTATTTCAATCATACTCTCTAATTCATGGAGTGATAATGACTGTAGACCAATAGGAATAAAGTTTTATTTAAAATATTAGTAACTACGGTTAGGATCTTCTTTCTCACTGTCTAAATTTAAGAGATTCTACGAGAATTCCTATCGTAGGAGGTGGATAGAAAGTGTGTTTGGAGCTCATTAATTCCAACCCTAGCTAAGATAGTTCAAGAAGTCTTTTGATAAGTATTTTAGTTTTAGTTACAATTTAAATACGTGAAAAGTTATTTAGTAATTGTTATCATTTTATTTTCTTGAAAACTGAAAAATCAGAAAAATATTTTTAAAAGTTTTTGAAATTTGGCTCCATTTTAAAATCAGTTGTCATTCTTCTGAAATTTGTAATTGGTTATCAAACAAGTTTTTAGCTTTCTAAAAATTAAAAATTAGAAACAAAATGTTTATCAAGAACCCCCTAAACATTCAACTTCAAGTTTATTTATTTTAGTTAAACATGTTCTCTTGTGCAAGCAGGATGTTTGTTGAATCATGCAAGAGATTGCGCATAATGAAGAGCAAGGAGGCTGTTGGACTAGGTTAGTATCTATCTTCAATCATTAATCAACCACCATTCATCACGATTATCCTTTAAACTTTCTTTAATCAACTAGCTTACTAAAACATGTTGAAATATGAATATTTCAGCACCAAGGGCCATGGAGAAATGCAAGAACAGGAGCTGAAGTACTAGTAACGAATGATCATCACAGCCTGCTCCTTTGATCTCGTCGCGGTCACGGCAAATCAAATCGAAAACCACCGGAAACGCGCAGATGGATTGAGCAGGTTGTTCGACTGATTGGATACGTTTGTTTGTAATATTAATGTTATGGTTTGATCATTATATGTGTAATTATATAAAGTGAGATACTTAAAATTTGAGTTTTTATCATGGACAGAACCATTTAAACTCGATCGAACGATCTGTCTTAAGTACGCTCAAGGACGGCTTGGTGTTTGCTTGTTTAGTATTAATAATTGGCTTGCTTAAGCATAATAATGTAATGCACCAGTTAATTATGTGGTTAATTTGTTGTATTTAATTATTTGTGTGTTTTTATTTTAATCCAATATACTTTCTATTTTTGGTAAATATTCTTCTTAATGTACGTTAAGTTGGTTAGAACATCGAGTCCTTGAATTTTATGGGTTTTTTTTTTCAGTGTGCATAAAAAAGTGGTAGTGAAGAAGATATTAATTGGGAATGCTTCGAGGACGTAGTTGATGAAGGGAACAGGAGCATGTGCATGTTAATTAGGCATTAATATATGCATGACCATTCTTTTTTTCTTTTCTATATTTATTACCTTAGACCTACTTCAATCTTTTGGTGTAAAACTCAAATTTTAAGTTCTAAACTTACTTTAATTTGCTCCAACCTTTGAATTCATTGACTCCAACATCTAAGATCTAATATGATCAAATCCAACAGTAAAAAAAAGCTCTAACGGCCCAAATTGAAATCCAAAAGCTAAAAAAAATATTTTATGTGTTTCATATTATGTTATAGTGTTCCACGAGTTTCACAGTGTCACTTTAGTAATTTTTCAATATTTATCAGAATCTAAAAACATAATATTTTTCTTTTAAAGTTACTTTAAGAAAAAAAATTATCCTAAATTCATTCTTTAATAATCTCGGGCTAAAAATTTAACCCATAAGGGTTGGAAGAGAAAAATTGTTTATGAGTTAAAACCTAAATTTTCTGGGTTAAAAATTTTAGGTTTTAACCCAAGGGTTGGAGATGGTCTTAGACTTTGGAAATGAATTGTTATTTCTAATCTCATTTAATGTTTGCTAGACTTTCTCATGTTATAGCAAAATAAGTAATAGTTAAATGAAACTAAACAACACAATGTGTGGCAGCCACTTAGTACTGTGGTATAGTGATATTAATATTCACTTGTAAGTAAATTTGATTATTGCCAAAGACAAATTTGAACCGAATTATTCTGGCTACCCTGTTGTGAGGCTTAATCCACTATGTCATCCCTTAGTGTAAGTTTATCATAAATCTTGTATCCATGCAAAGTGCAAACTCATTGGGGGAATCCAAATCAGGAGGAAATAGGAGGTGTTTTAACAGCCTTGAATGATTAATCCTAATGTTTCTAGTGGGATATGTTCTTTGCATTCCAAAAGTAAACTTCTTACCCTCATGAGTGAATATGGAGTGTGAAAGCAAATTTTAGAGTGCATAAATTACTTCCCAGTTCATATCTTCCAAGGAAAATGAAGATAGGCCTTGAGTTTGCATGCATGCGATGATGCAATACTGATGGAAAGAAAGCGTCTGTTTACACAAAATAATATATTATTGGGCCTTGGTTTGGCCTAATATGATAATTTCAAGGAAATAGAACTTATGCAGTTATGCCTTTAATTTATTCTAAATAAACAGTGCATGCCTACGATTATTTTTTACTTGTCAAAGATACCAAAATCTCGGTCTTTCATCTTGATTGCAAACAGCACTAAATGCAAAGCACTTCGGTGTTTTGGTGAGAAGGTGATCAAGGATTTAGGCAAAACCACCGTCTTAGTTATGCTAATCTACATTTATCATCCATATATTTTGGATTACTTTTTTATTGGTGCATTACTTTCTGGAAAGTAATACTAGGTCGTCTTCAAATGGAAACATAGGAAGCAATGAAGGAAGAAGTGAAAGGTCTATAAATACAAGTGAATGACTCAAAGTACAGGACACTCAGATCATTCAACAAAATAGATTATAAGCTTTCAAACCAAAAGCTCCCTACCTTTTTTCATTCATTTTGCCTTATCAAAAGACTACTTAAAACCAAGACCTTAGAACTTTAGAAAACCTCCCCTTCGACTCTAAAACCAATTAGAATTTGCTTAACTACCATCTCTTTTGCTTAGTATCGATTTACCAACCTTAAGACAATTAGTCTCTTTGGTTGTAACCTTTACAAGGAAGCATCTTTAACCCAATCTGATGGTCTCACATCCAATCCGACAAGAGCTTTATTGATCGTTCTAAGTTCATATATATATGTGTATGTATGTATGTATGTATGTATATATATATATGTATATGTACTTTGTTTTGTGATATTCAGCAATATTAATATCAATTTTAGTTACACACTTACTGTTTTTATCACTTCTTGTATTTACTTTATGTTGTGAATGACTAAAGTGGTGCGCTAGAATATAATCAATTTATATTTAACCACATCTCAATAGTCTCTTGTCCAACATAAAAAAAAAACAATTAAAATCCCTAACAAACAAGGCATTAAAAGGAATCAAACTTGAGCAAAAAATTGGCACAATCCTTTATAAAAGAAATTTAGTTACTTGTGGTGCAAGTATTCAATATACATACAATCTATTCTAAACAAGGTTCTAAAAAGCTAAAATCTAAAATACATGCTTATTGTTAGAAAAGAAACCCTCCACAACATGTTTTTGGTATAGAAATAATGCTGGTTCATGTAACAAACAACATCAAAACATGTTTATTGTTAGAAAAGTAGAATTAAGATACAACCTAAAAATAAAACATAAATGTAATAAAACAACCCCTTATTTAATTGAGGTTTATGAAATCCAATGTCTCCAATTTGGAAATGGACTAATTAGTTCTGAAGCCAAAAGCTAAAAACAACATTTAGTTTTCTTGAAAGAAAAGGCAAATAATAATTCTACAAGGCAACAGCCCCCAACCCTACCCTATTGTGATTAAGGATAATAAAACATAATGTTGACAGGGTAATAGTACAGAGAGCCTTGTGAAACCAACATGGCATCCAACGAGGTTGCTCACAACACAAGCACATTGCACTTCCGCCTCTCGATCTTTCTTCGCTTCTTATGATCCTCAGATGGCTGCACCGAAAACAAACAAACAAACAAAATTTACAGAAACGTATAGGCATGATTCTGAACTATCATAGAATGAGAAACTGGAGAGTTTAGGCATTACCTGTTCAGCACTGAGAAAATGAGGCACCCCAACCCTCTTCGAGCCATCAGCTAGGCGCTTACATGGTAATAGGTTATCCGCGGCAGCATTGTTATCAACCTACAATCCAACACATCAAAATGCTAGATCAGATCGCTTTCTTTACGCGGGATTCATTTGATATTAGAAAAACCAATCAAAGGGTGTATGCCAAATAGAGAGGGTACTGATGATTACCTGGCTCTGAATGGCCCCAATCAACAATTCTTGACAACCTGATGCATGCACATTTTCTAAATTGGGGCACTGAAGCACCAATCTCTCTGCATAAATACAAACAATCACTAAACTATACGAATAAATTCACCAAAATTTTCACCATATAAAGAATTGATAGAAACCTTAGCTAAAATGAGGAGGAGAGCAAATGGGATACCTGGGTACAAATTTTTGCAATAATTCAAGTTCAGATCATTGAGTTCTCGGCAGTTTAAATACAGAGCCTGCATTAGATTGAAAATTAAGAACCAGAAAAGAAACTATACCAGAACAAAATTAAGTATTCGGTTCAGGAACTCACATCTAAGCCAGAACAACCCCACAAGCTCAGTTTTTTCAACCGGGCATGTTTGATAATCAGCTTCTGGTAACTGTTGTGTACTTTATCATTGGATGCTTGAGGGAGTTCACGGACATTGGTTTCATCAGAGGGAGAATTAGGATCGCATATGGTCATGCCACAGTCCAGGAGTTCAAGCAGGGGCAGCTGCGCTGTAGCAAATTGAATGAAACCTGAATAGTACATGCAATAGTTTGTCAACTAAAGTTTATGTGTAACTAATCAATTACTAGTTTTAGTCCATGGTCTAGGTGATTACTTGAACTGATGTTGGGGCAAAGAGCAACAAGTAGTCTCGATAGAGTATCAGGGAACACATTGCAAATAATTCCAATGCCACTATCACTGATGCTAGATCTGTAATCAAAATGGAGAGCCAAACGTTACATCTCAAAGAATGAATGGATAGAGAAGCAAACATTTTCAACTATTCGTGAAACAAATTTGTTTTCTGCTTTCATTAGAAAGCCTGCAGTTGAAAGTTTAGAGTCAGCAAAAATGTTTATTCAAGGAAAAAAATTTAGGCAACAATAAAAGTCATTGCATCTCATGGTTCATTGTAACAATTTGAAAGATCATTGCAACTCATCTGACTACTAATCTGTTAACAGTTCTGGTGGAAAGGTTTAAAACATGAGTCATTCCATAAAGGGATGGAATTCCCATTTATTCTAAACAGAATCGCAACCTTCCTGGACCTAGGATGATAAATTTCGAGGATCTGTTTTGCAAAGCAATAACTCACTATAATCAAACATTGAAAATATCAGACAATCAAAGGTTAACTACAAAGACTATTGCAATTGAACCATATGACTGAAAACATACCCGCTCAGATCAAGTAATTCTAAGTTCTGGTAACTCGAAGCAATGGCAGCAACAGATGCATCAGTGATTTCAGACCCAAGGACAAGAGAAAGCATTCTCAACCCCCTGGATGACATGGTCAAACAATCTTCATGAGACTAATTGTGCATTGATCGAAGAGAGTTCGTTCACTAAACATCATTGCAGCAGCCTATTCATATGATAAGATTAGCCTCAAAACAGATTTAGTGGCAAACCTTAGCTTTGCTGCTGTAAGGGCAAGCACAACAGCGTTGGAAAGCCGGATTGATGCAATGTGTATGTTTTGTAACCTTGGGCAATTCCTTCCCAGCACATCAGCCATGGTAACAAGATCAGTATTATCATTTTCTTCGTGAGAAAAGTCTACAGATATCTCTTTTAGATTGGGACAATTGAAAACCTGTGAAAAGGGAATGTGAATGAGTAAAAGAGAAGTCTTTTAACAATAAATTGAAAACAAAAAAGGGAAATCGGCAACTGCACGACAGACAAAGAGGAAAGAGAAAAATAATCACCATCTTAGAGAGGGAGTAAAGACCCGAAAGCCAAATTGTAGAAAGACTTGATGAACAGAGAGAAAATCCACATAAGTTAGAACAACCTTCCATCTTAAGGCTTTTCAGGAATCGTCTATCAACAACGAAACGACCCAGTTCATCCCTGTAGTTTTAAAAATCATGGAAGGGGTTGAATTAATCAGCCAACACAAGCACTGTTTTATCAAATGCACACCACACAACAAAGAGTAGCGAACAGAAAATAGCCAACCATATCAATCTAAATGCCCAATAAAACAGCAGCTCAATTTAAGACAACAGATAAACGATTAAACCTGCGAAGAACGGAACATAGAAGCTAAAAAAGAAGAGGAAGCATACCCCGTGATCCTATTGATAGCGCTTCCGGCGGTATTTATCTCCAAGAACTCAAGATTTGGGCATGAAAATGTAATCCACGCCAGCAATGTTGCATCCACATCACTGCAACAGAAAATTTATCAAATTAATTACCAAAGCACGATGCATTATTTAGAATACAAGAATTTACAATGTAGCTCGCTGATTTCGAAAACAACGCTGCATCAGATCAAATCCTTATAGATCAAATCAATTCAGTATAATTCTACCTATTGCATTCCATCAAAACCCCATTTCGTTTTAGCCTTTAATTTTTTTCTTTTATTTCAGTTTTAGTCCACATCGAGTTCATTTTTTTCCGTTTAGATTGCTTTATCTTCAAAGCTCATCGCTGTAAGCAGATCTGTTAGGTGAAACCATAGATCTGAAACATAGAGCACTAATACCTTTCCATTCTAAGAGATAGGTTCACGAGGCCCGGGCATTTCTGCAATACCGATCCAACAAAACCGACCTGAGCCCTCGTCGGAACCCTAATCCTAAGCATCTCCGCCGCCTTCCACAATCTCCTCGTCGTCTCCCTCCACCCCTTGCACACCATCGCCGCCGACAACAGCCCCGGCGGCGGCAACCTCTTCAAAATCTCCCAAAGACAGCTCGCCGGCAGACCGCCCAAACCCGTAGCCAAATCTATATCGTCCCCGGAGTCTCCGAACTCTTCAAGGTCCGGAGAGTCAAAACCGCCGCCTCCAGAACTATCCACATCGTCATCGAACGATAGCGCTCGGCGGAGGTTGGAGTAGGGCGGCTGACGTGGCGACGGAGGGGGGCGGATGTCCGAGAGAGAAGGGGAGGGCGCCTCATCGACGAACGCGTCATCGGCGGTGGAGTTGGCAGGGAGGTGGCACTTGTGGCCCTTCTTCGGCTGGCCGCATCGGCCGCAGGTGTAACTGCCGCGCCTCTTTCCGCGCTTGGACTCGGATCCGGCGGAGGGGACGATGACATGGGACCCGAACGGAGTGGCGGGACCCGAGGCGGCGGAGAAATGGGGTTGGTTTGAGTAATGATGGTGGCGCTGCTGCATGGTTTTGGATTTTGGAGATTTGAGATGTGTAGAGAGAGAGAGAGAGGAGGTTGAGAGAGAGAGTGAGGTGAGAAATATAGAGAGAGGGAGAAGGCGCGTGGGGGGGTCGGAAAGGCGCGGGAGATAAAAGCGGGATTTCGCGCGCCGGTTTTGAAACATTAAAATAATGCAAAGGAGAGAGCCTGTCTTCGCCTGACGTAAAGGTTTCAAATGGCGAAAATGGCGCTGACGGTGGGTGGAAAATGCGGCTATTGCTGGAAAAAAATTTCTGCATGTTTTTTTTATGGTAAATTATATTTTACCACCGACAAATGTTACATATATTATATATTTATATTATTTTTTCAAAGCATGTGATTCTCATATTATTAAAGAGATAATACAAATAGATAATAAAAATAATATTTAATATACAACCTTAATTTTCAACCGCATAATAATTTCAAATCTCGTCTTTTAAACAAATGTGGTAAAATATAATTTATGTTTTTTAAATTGGAAATAATGTTATTCATAAGTTAACAAATACAAAATCCAAACATGATACCTGAAAACAATATAAAAAACGAGGCATAAAAGAAAAATATACACTGTTATCTTTAATCTTATAACTAGAACACAAATCCCTCCAAAATATTGATGCTTAATTAATGGCGATTCAAGAATCAGATTTTCCAGCATTTAATTTTGTGAATTATTTTTCTTTTTATTGTAAGCATGATTTTGGATAACCGTATTTTTATACGACTAAAATGCTAATAATACGTGTCACATATATACTTATTTGGAAGTTTGTAGCAAATGAATAAGAAATCAGATATCAATAATGATTTTGACGAATTGTTAGGATTTCACCTTTGCTCACCCCTACAAAGTGAGGGTGATTCATGTCATATCCCGACCCAGGCCCCCATCACATCTTGGACTCAACTCCACCTTAGCACGATATTATTCGCTTTGAGCTCCGACCAGGGCCGGCCCTGAGAATTTGGGGGCCCTAGGCGAGCCTTCGAAGTGGGGCCCTAAAATTCTCTGATCTCCGGTTCTTTATATATTGATTTGTATAAAAAAGAATTCGCTAAGTACATAAAAAGTTATATTTTCACATCAAATATCATTAAAAATAAATATCAAAATAAGATAAATATACAAATATTATTTAAACATTACACAATTCACGTTTTTAGACACAAATGTACTAAATGTTTACAGTCAAGTGTCTAAGATTGAGAGTGAAGAACAATAAAAATTGATGATGAAGAGAGTAATGACCAATAAAACTTGATTAATGAGTATAATAAATTCAACGCCAATTGTTTCTCTTATGTTTTTTTTTCTAAAATCAACATCACACTAACAAATTGAATATTAAAATAATCCATTGAATAAAAAGTTATTGAAAAGAAAAATATAAATTCAAAGTTTTGATTACCTTAAAGTACAATCTTTAAGACCATATGATAGTTGGTTTAAACATTCAATAGACATGGAAATAATGAGAAGTTGGTTTAAACATTCGATAGGAATGGAGAGAATGAGAAGTTGAAAGAAAAAAGATTGCAAAGAGACTTGAGTTTTATAACTTTATATGAATTTGGATAGATGGATTGTGAGTTGGACAGATGGATTGGCAGTAAATTTGAAAAACAAGAAAAATAAAAAAAATCTAGTGACTAAAATGCAGCTTCGTGTTTCCAACTCAACACCCCAAATAAAAAAAAAAGCCAACATTTCCACTGCACTAACAAATGAATTATGATATATTTTACTTTTGTTTTGTATTTATATGTTAATTACAGGATATAAAAAAAAATTGGGGGCCCTACTACTTGGGCTACCCTCAGGGTCGGCCCTGGCCCCGACCATGCCCTCATGGTTTTGTTTATGGGAACTCACACGAGAACTTCTCAGTGAGTCACCCATCATAGGAATGCTCTCGACCGAACTCGCTTAACTTCGGAGTTCCGATGGAACCCAAAGCCAATGAGTTCCCAAAAAGCCTTGTGTTAGGTAAAGATGGAAATATACATATAAGGCTTTCATGATCCACTCCCCTAAACGATGTGGGATGTTACAATCCGCCCCCCTTAGAGGCCCGACGTCCTCGTCGACACACTTCCGGCTAGGGATTGACTCTGATACCAAATTGTCACATCCCAGCCCGGGCCCCCACCACATCCCTAGCTCGACTCCACCTTAGCACAATATTGTTCCCTTTGAGCCCCGACCATGCCCTCACGATTTTGTTTTTGGGAACTCACACGAGAACTTCTCAGTAAGTCACTCATCCTAGGAATGCTCTCGCCTAAACTTGCTTAACTTTGGAGTTCCGATGGAACCCGAAGCCAACGAGTCCCCAAAAGGCCTCGTGCTAGGTAAATATGGGAATATACATATAAGGCTTCCAGGGCGATGTGGGATGTTAACCCAAAATTAAGCGAGTTCCCAAAATGCCTCGTGCTAGGTAAAGATGGGAATATACATATAAGGCTTACAGATACACTCCCCTGGACGATGTGGGATGTTACATTCATCTCCTTAGTTACCGTTAAAGTAGTTTGGTTTATTTGATCTATGCACGAATTACAAAATTTAAATAAATCTAAAGGCAATCAATGGAGGCATAAATGTCACATTCACTTTAGGAGGCGAGCAAAATGCATTCAAAATTCAAATTGACTAGATTTTGTATGATAGATAATTTTCCATATGACCCTAAATTTGGAATTTTGTTCCTAAATTTGAATTATTTATATTTCATGATATAGTATACACCAATGTTATTCAGTCAAATTGTTTAAAAAATAACGGCGAAAAGTTTCGGCTATTTTATAGTGTTTTGATAAGTATGGTTAGAAAACACGCATCTTTTGTATAACTGAGAAAAGTATTGAAAACGGAAACATATTTTTTTTGTTACAAAAAAGGGGAAGTATTTTCAAAGTACACAAACATATGCAGGTAGCACACGCCTTATACATGATCTTATGAACTAGATTGTCAAGATTTGATGTTGCTAGTCAAACCATAGATTTTTGTTACTTTGAGTTGCACATATACAAATAATGTATCGAAAAGGTAACTCAACTCAAATAGATCTCAACTACGAACCTTCTAGTTCAATAGAGAAATAAGGTAACTAAGTGTGCGGCTTCATTACATGAACAACGCACAACACAAGATCATAGGTTGATAGATTTGAGTTTTAAGTTCAAGGAATTGAAATACAAAATATTTTCATACAATGTAATGTACAATATATTTAAGTTAATTTTTAGGGTAATGCTAGGAAAATCAAAATTTTAAATCAAAATTTTAAATCAAAATTTGTAAACTAAATGATGTGGATATGATGATTAAATTATTTCTCACGTGTTAGTTAACGTGCTTATTTTTTATTGGTGACACATAATTTGGTTTAAAAGTTTTACTAGCATTGTCCTAATTTTTGTTCATTAATCGTTTTTAATTCGTTCGATCAGACAGAGAGGGACAACTAGTGACAAGCCGCGGTTATTCACTATTTCCGAGCCCGGAGAGGTATAGAAAATTTTACCTTACCTGCAGTCACAATTAAGCAGACTCACCAACTTGAAACAGTGAACCCAAAACTTTTCATATTTTTTTTTATTATTAGAGAACCGTAATCTGCGCCTTTACCACTAGGCCATTTATTAAAATTGATGATCAATATGCAACGTGATAGGCAAAAGCAGCGCGAATACTGCGGCTGAAGAACAAAAGCCAAGCTGTCACGTGACTTTTGGCAAATGCAAATCTTTCAACCCTACCTGTATTCTCTAATTTAAGAAAAAAAATGAAGAAATTTTGATATAAAATAAAATAAAATAAATAAAAATGGAACGACCCACTGTGGGCCTATTGTTTCACCACTAGCATGGCCCGTTTGGATCTTGTTTTCTCTGGCCTCATCTTACCTGACTTGTTTGGTGACTAGGATCATATTCAAGTAGGGATACTACCCTAGGGATGGGCAAATAGCCATTGGTTATGGGTAACCGTGGTTACCCGTCCATTTAAATTAAATGGTTACGGTTATGGGTAACCGTTTAGATAAATAAACGGTTATGGGTATAACCGTTTACCCGCGAAATTTAAATGGGCGGTTATGGGTATTAACCACGGTTATAAACGGGTAACCGTTTACCCATTTATTTTATATATGTAAAACTAACACAAATCATGTTCTCGATCCAATAATACTTAGCACCCAATAAATTAGCAAGGAATTCATCGGTCATTCTCTCAATAACACTACTACATGAATGACTAGAAATTATGCCCGAGCGTTACTGTGGGAACCAGCTGTTTTAGGCGTAATCGGATGAATAAAACACATTTAAGTTGAATAAATTCAACACAATTATGAATACATTAAGTTGAATAGATTATTAACATGTTTAAGTAGTGAAAAGATTACAACACACTGGATGTGTTAACACATCCATAAGCTGATGACTCCCTCTCCGGTTTACCGCATCATCTTAATGTATTCAACAATGCAGCAGCAATAAAAGTCCTTGAAAAATTATGACAATTTTTTTTTTTAAATTTTCAAGTTGTTAAAAAACATGTAGACGGGTAAAAAAAGGGTAATGGTAAAAAAAAAAAAAAAGATAAACGGGTTAAAAAGGATAAATGGGTAAACGAGTATTAAACGGTTACGGTTAAATGGGTATGCGGTTATGGGTATGGTTAACCGTTTATAAACGGTTATGGATATGTGTATAACCGTTTAGGCAATTACCCAACGGGTAAACGGTTATGCGGGTATGAGCATAAACAGTTATGGATAAATTAACCGCGGTTACCCGCCCGCATAACCATTGCCCATCCCTATACTACCCTTGGGACTACCCTTGCAGATCAAGAAACAGTAACTCATAATCTATTTACAATTAACTCATAATTTTTTGTTTTATTTTCATCCTTTATAGATAACGAATTGGTTTCAAGGAAATGCATGAGTAACTAAACAATCTCAAAATTGAATGATTTTTTACAGATTTGATCTTTAAATGATGATATAGAGAATGAACGATTTCGTTTGT